AAAAACAATATTTAGAGATCACCTATTAACATAAATATTTTTTTTGAACATTTTAACGTAAATATTTGAAGAAGTTAAAATTTTAATAAATTATTTAAATCAAACATATTAAACATATAGAAAATTTTTACAACGCTCGTCGAGCATGGATGAGCACAGTTAACGATGAGTGCCATTAAATTAATTTATAAAATGTTAAATTATAAAGTACTAAATGTATAATTCTAAATTATTAAAAATCTAAATGTAATTTAATTAAAATACAATATTTATAAAAAATTAGTTTTTAGGGTAAACTATACCATTAACCACATAACTATTTACCCTTTCTACTTTAACCATCTATTTTTCAATTTTTTCAATCGGGTCACCTAACTATTTAAATCTTGCCAATCAAGCCACCTGTCGTTAAATATTAACGGAGGAGATGATGTGACAGTGAATAAAATTTGTATAATTGCAAATTTAATTCTTATTACTTACACATTCTATTAATTTGGCCTTAACTTTTAATTTATTCAATAAATTTAATCCTCAACCAGAAGGTGACACGTGTCACATGTGATTGGATTTTTTTAAAATTTTTATTTAATTTAATAAATTTTCCATCCAATCAAACGGTGCCAAGTGTCACCAATTGAATGAATAAAAATGAATTGAATAAATAATCATTGTTGGTGGGGTTTGAACCAAGACATGAGGAGAGGAAGCAAACGGCCCAACCACTAGGCTGTACCATTTAAATGTCAAACCTATCACAATATAATATATATAGTTAATGGCAATGGAAAAAGGGAAAATGACCTAATAAGAACTCCAACATGGAATAATTGAATAATATGATAATATGATATATATACACAAATATTATAATTGATTAATATGTAAATGTATTTAATTTATATTTTAAATCATTTTAATGAAAAATTAAAAATATTTTTTATATATTATAATTGAAATATAATGAAGAGCTTTGTTGACTTAGAATTTTCCTGATAGTTGAAGTCTTATCGAAGTAAGTATTTTAATTTATGCGTTAACTTGTTTATATCCCGATTAGAGTAATAATTTTATATTTCAGTATTTTTATATTTGAAGAAAATTTTAGGGGAAACTTGATTTTATTGAATTATACTATTTTAATATAGAGTTGTTAAGTAAGATTAGAATCCAATCGACGTTATAATATTTTAAAATATTAGATATGATACATTTGATTTCAATAAAATTATAATAATGAAGATAATTTATTAATTTAAAATATGTAAAATGATACATTTCAATTATAACATATTAAATTCACTTTTATTTTAATTTTGCATTAAATGTTAAAATGTAAATAAAACATATTCATTTATTAATCAATTATAATATTTTTATATATTTTATATCTTCATAATATTATATTATTTCATGTTTGAGTCCTTATAAGATCATTTATTACCATTAATTATATTATAAATTATAGATTATGTTATGTATATTAGATAAATTTAGTGGTCTAGTTTAGTGGTTAGGGTACTCAATTTTTAGGCTTGCGCTTCAGGTTCAAACCCCACAATGATTATTGATTTAGTTTATTTTTCATTCATTCAATTGGTGACACATGTCAACACTTGATTGGATAAAAATTTATTAAATAAAAAAATATTTAAAAAAACCCAAATTACATAGTGACACATGTCACCATTAGATTGAATATTAAATTTATTGAATTAAATAAAAGTTAGGACCAAATTAATAGAATATGTAAGTAATGAGGACTAAATGTATAAATATAAACATTTTATTAACTACCATGTCATCTCATCTGTTAATATTTAACGGCATGAGGCTTGATTGACAAGATTTAAATAGTTAGTTTACTCAATTGACAAAATTAAAAAAATAGGTGGTTAAAGTAAAATGGGTAAATAGTTAGCTGGTTAATGTTATAATTTAGCCTAAAAACTAATATTTTTATAAATATTGTATTTTAATTAAATTACATTTAGATTTTTAACTTATTTATAGTTATACGTTTAGTACTTTATAATTTAACGTTTTATAAATTAATTTAATGGTGCTCATTATTAATCGTATTCATCTGTGCCCGTCGAGCGTGGCAACATCATCCAAACATAAAACCCCATCCATGTCAATGTCCCAAGTTATTTAAGGTTACAAAATGATAATTCAACTCTTCATATGTTCAAAACTCATCATACTATGTTAGAAAATTAACGACAATCTGAATTGAACATTAACTTGATGACTGTGATATAATAAAATTTGATCCCAATATCTGAAACGATTATCATATCTTAGCCAATATGTTAACGTCAAACTCAGATTGTCATCAACTTTTTAACGAAAAAATGAGTTTAGAATATATGAATAGTCAGTTTATCATTTTGTAACTTTTAATAATTGAGATACTTAACAAAGTAATACCCTATAATCAGAGAATATTTTGTAACTTTTAATAGTCGAAGTCTCTACAATACAACACCCTTTAATTAAGAAATCATTTATGTATTTTACCGGAAATATAATTGTATTAGAATTTAATGATTAATGACATCACGAATATCGATATTCAAATTTAATGAAGATGTACGTCTATTCGATATTAAGGTCAACACACGCTTGTTTTGAAATTTAAGTTTTTTCAATTATTGATTTATTTTTTTAATTATGCTTACCATAAAATATTGTTTATACTTATACAATACAAAATTTTTATAAATAATATACATGTGTCCACCCTAATAGATCCATCACTATTAAATTATATTAGTAATTTAATTTCAACCCGGTACACGTATTCCAACAATAAATGACGGTAACTCATTTAACTACAAAATAGAGCAATAAAATTTTGGCATTCTTCTTGGTTCTACCACCGAGTCCTCTCGAGTCTCGATTCCACCGATGGCCGGCAAAGACACCCAACAATCGAACGAGCTACCTGTAGTCCTCCTTCATCGTCTGCCCTCCATGAACCTTCCTTTCAACCCTTCTTTCAGGGACCATTTACGTTTTCACGTTCATATTGTAGACCCTCATGAGTCGCCTGAGGCTGAGCCATATGACTCCTGTCTATCCCGCCATGCTCACTCCATTAGGGCTCTCATCACCCTTGGTCTCGCCCCAATTTCCCCCGAGTTTCTCGAGCGTCTGCCTGTTTTGGAGCTGGTAGTGACATCAAGTGCTGGCGTTGATCATATTGACCTCCCAGCTTGTAGGAACTGAGGCATCGTCATCACTAACGCTAGCTTTGCCTTCGCAGAGGATGTAGCCGATTGTGCTGTTGGGTTGCTGATCAATGTTCTTAGAAGAATCTCCGCCGCTGATAGATTTGTTCGTGGCCGGATGTGGCCCGTTCAGAAAGCATACCCTCTTGGTTTCAAGGTAAAGATTCCTTTTCTTTGTTACCTACTGCGTTTTGATTCTTTGAGCTGGAGGAGCAGAATTTAACAGCAAGAGCAAATTATATATAAGTCGAGAGATTCAGTTTGAGGAAATTAAGATCTTTGATTAGCTGTTTTACTGCTGATTGCTTAACCTTGTTGACTTTTTAAACCTCTTGAAATTTCATGGTTCTGAACTGAACTCAAAGTTGATGCACTAATTACATCCATTAAATTTATATCTTTTGGATTTTAAACCTGCCTCGTTCAAATTGTCTTACTTGAAACAGTGACGGATCAAAAAATTATTTCATTCAAATTGTCTTATTAGAAACAATGACAGGTCCAAAAATTTTCTCATTCAAATTGTCTTACTAGAAACAATGATGGATCTAAAATTATTTTTTAGGTTGGGAACATATGTATTGATAATAGAAATTTTTGTACCAATGAAATTTTGGGGTGACAAAAATAGTAAAACTAACAACAAATATAAAGAAATTTAGATTTCGGGGGACATGGTGCATCCACCGCTTATTAGAAAAGTCAACAAATGATAACACTTATAATTTCTTTTTATACCTTTATATATTTTATTCTTTTATACATATCAAAATAAATATATCAAATCTATCAATTACTTTTTTAGAGATAATTTTGTGATTTTTCTCATTTTGTATGACTTGATATATGATTAAATTTATCTCTTAAAACTATATGTTTATTCAACATGAGATAAAATTAATAAGACGGAGGGAGTATTTAACAATATGACCATAGATATCTTTTAAAATAAAAACAATGTTTCTTGATCTTAAATGGGATATCTTTTATGGTTTTTATTGTCTAATCTTCGCAATGATATTTATTTTCCATTGGGGAGAATGTTGATTGAAATGCATTATTCATCACAATGATTTATAATTAGCATTTACAGCCTTTATTCTGTTACTCTATCGCATGCCATTTTAAAATGTAAAACTGCACTTCAACAAGGCACTACTATACATATCATATTTGTTCATTACGAAAGCACTGTTCTTAACTTGGAATTGCAGTTAGGAGGAAAGCGAGTAGGGATTGTGGGCATGGGAAGCATCGGTTCTGAAGTTGCAAAGAGGCTTTCAGCCTTTGGGTGCTCCATTGCATACACCTCAAGAAACAAGAAGCAATTGATCCCATTTCCATTCTATGCCGATGTCAGTGACCTTGCAGCGAACAGTGATGTTCTCATACTTTGTTGTCCATTGACAGAGAGAACTTACCACATTATCAATAAGGATGTCATGGTAGCATTAGGGAAGGAAGGAGTGATAATCAACGTGGGTCGTGGCTCATTGGTTGATGAGAAGGAATTAGTGCAGTGTTTGGTGCAAGGAGAAATTGGTGGTGCAGGCCTTGATGTGTATGAAAATGAGCCTAATGTCCCAAATGAGCTATTTGGAGTTGATAACGTTGTGTTATCTCCACATTGCGCTGTCCTGACCCCTGAATCGTTTGAAGCTGTGCACCAGTTGATTGTTGGCAACTTAAAAGCCTTCTTTTCGAATAAACCTCTGGTATCAGTGGTCTCGAATGATTGAAGCATTCATTTTCCGATATAATGAAAGGCATCAACAGTCAAAACATCCTGTAAGTTGAACTGTAACTCTGCAACATACCTAAAATGTTGTATGAATAACGGGTTAATGTTGGTATCAGTGTTTACAAAATTTTTTTATTATATTATTTCGTCTTTTATTTATTTATTTTAGGCATGTAATCTAAAGGGGAATTGGTCAGGTGTGTTGGGAAAATGTGTGAATTCATTGTTCAATTTGGTAATTGAATTTTCCTTAAATTTTACATATCTATTTAAATATTTCAAATTAAAAAAGATATTATGTGAATTCTTTAAATTTTGATTATTAATAAGATCATGTTATATTATTTAAAGATTTATATTCAATTGATATTCGAATATGTTATTTACGAATTTATATTCTCTTGAAATAGAATTTTTTTTTCTCTGGTGTACTTATGTAATAAGATTGTGAGAATAGTTTTTGTGTTGTAATAATTTCCACATAATGATTTCTCTAATTATCTTTGACAACGATCATAATTTTTTCTCTATTTAAAGTGTTTACAAATATTTTTGTATTTTTCATTATATTATTTCCTAGTTTCTTTATCTATTTTAGGCATGCAATCTAAAGGGGAATTGGTCAGGCTTGCTGGAAAATTTTGTGAATTCATGGATGAATTTGCTAATTGAATTTTTGTTAAAGGTGACATATTTATTTAAATATTTCGAATTAAAAGGATACTATGTGAATTATTTAAATTTTAAATATTAATAGGATACTATTATATTATTTAAGGATTTATATTCAATTAAATTAGAATATTTATTTACGAATTTATATTTCATTGAAATCGAAACATAGTATTTTCTCTGGTGTACTTATGTATTAAGACTGTGAGAATAGTTTTTGCGTAATAATAACTTTCACATAATGATTTCTCTAATGATCTTTGACAACAATCATAATTTTTTTCTCTATTTAAAGTGTTTACAAATAATTTTTTTTGTATTTTTAATTAGAAAAATTCTACAATGCTCATCGAGTGTGGATGAGTGCCGTTAACGATGAGTACAATTAAATTAATTTATAAAACGTTAAATTATAAAGTAATAAACGTATATTAATAAATTAGTTAAAAATATAAATGTAATTTAATTAAAATATAATATTTATAAAACATTTGTTTTTAGAGTAAATTATACCATTGACCACCTAACTATTTACCCATTTTACTTTAACCACTGATTTTTCAATTTTGTCAATCGAATCACCTAACTATTTAAATATTGGTCAATCAAGCCACCTGTCGTTAAATATTAACGGAGGAGATGACGTGGTAGTTTGTAATGGTCCAAAATGTTGAATTAGGGACTTTATTGAAAGGATTTAAGATTTGAGAATTTATTTGAGTAATTTATAAAAGATAAGAATGATTTAGGAATAATAGTTTAAAGCTAAATTGTAGTAATGGAGGAATAAAGGGACATTTTAGGCAAATGGGAATTAGATGAATTTTAAATTCATTCTTTTAAGGTATTAAAGTATAGAGTAGGGGAAAAGGGGAGAAAAACTTGGTCAACTCCATTTCCTCTTCTTCTTCCCGTGCTTAACTTTCCTTCATAGCTCAAAAGTTAAATACAGCTGAGTAAGGAGATCTTTTGGACATCTAGTTAGAGTTGTCTCATCAGTAACCGTATGACATACTTGTCTACTTTTTGTTATATTTTAGTTGGCATGTAATATGATTTAGTAAAAACACTCTGATAAGTATTTAGATTAAACGGTTGTAAAATGATGAAGTGTTTAAACATCTCTTTTGTTGTTTATTTAAGTTAAGATATGTGTTATTTTAAGTAGGTTAAATGTTTTATAAAACTGAAACAAAATTTTACGTGTTTTCGTATTAAGAACATTAATATTAGTAATGTGACATCTGTGCCTCGTATACTTATGGGTATACGGGAGATGGGTGTTACATTTATTGGTATTAGAGCAATAGGTTTAGCCGATTCTCGGCCGAATCAAGTGTAATTTTATATAAAAAGATTTTACATGCCACTAAGATTGTCAAGGTTACTGATATGGTATAGAATGAATATGAAAGATGTCTCTCCTTACTAACGTAATTACTATTTTATGAATGATATGATAGATATCTGATTCTACAAACTCAAGAAGAGCGGTTTTGCGTGAGAGTAAAGACGAATCGGGTAGTGAGAGCTACGAAGAGAATAGCGAACATCCGATTCCGTCTGATAATGCCAGTGCACCGGTACCTCAGGCATGCTTGTTTCAGAATTTGAAACTTTTATGCAAGCTCTTGACGCTATTCTAACACAATTTCAACCTCCTCCGCCTCCCCCTGCTCCTCTAGTACCGCGAATGCTAATCCCAAAGGAGTTAAGAAGTTTGGGAGCTCCTGAGTTTAGGGGAAAAGAAAGTGAAGGCCCGATGAATGCGAACTTATGGTTGAATGACGTTAAGACAATGTTGGAAAGTTTGCAGTGCTCTGATCATGAGAAACTGGGTGGAGTTGTTTCATTACTCAGAGGGTTGGCTCGGGTATGGTGGACAAACACGACGATGTATACGTTGCCCGAGCTGGTGAACTGGCAGTTCTTCCAAGAGGAGTTCAAAAATAAGTATATTGGGGAGCAGTTCATGAGATCGATGTTACTGAGGTTTTTGAGCTTAAAACAAGGGGATCGGGTGGTGCATGAATACGAGACCGAATATAATAAACTTAGTCTTTATGCTACAGAAGTTGTTCCAAATGATAAAGCTCACCGAGATTGGTTCATTGAGGGTTTAAGGCCGAAGCTAAAGGAAATGATGTTGGCATTAAATTTGTCTAGCCTACAAGAAGTAATAAATAGAGTGAAGGCGATTGAAAGGGCTCAAGAGGAGACTCTAGCGGTAGAACAGAGTATGTAGACAGGAAAAAATCGGAATGTCTTCATCTGTACAGTATGCAAAAAGGGGTAAGGGCTCAGGTTATCAATTCACCATTAGAACTGATCATTCTGCAGCTTCACGAAAAACTAAGCAGTCCCAATCCTATGCTGCTAGCTCGGGTAGAGCTCATGGAGAAAAACCTCGATGTCAGACATGCGGCAAGTTACACGGAGGAGTATGTAGGTTGATTTCCGATGTTTGTTTAAATTATGGTGAAAAGAGTCACTTTGCTAGAAATTGCTCGAAGAAATATGGTAACAGGTCAGTACAATCTAAGAGATCAGTAGCAGCACCTAATAGAAGTAGAGGGAGAGGAAGATCTGGTGGTCAATCTGAGGCTGGTCAAAGACAAGATACTCGGGGAGTGTCTCGAGTATATAATATTAAGACTAATGATGATCGAAATGATCCGAAGATCATAACGGTCACATTTCACCTTTTTGATGAGCCTATTTTTTTTTCTAGTAGATCCTGATTCTTCACATTCATACATTAGTACCGAACTGATTAGAGCTAGATGAGTTCCTTTAGAACCAATTGCTATTGAAATGATAGCGATAAATCCTATGGGTTAAAGTGCAAGGGTAACTAAGGTGTGTAGGAAATATCCAATTAAGATTCAAGGGGTAGTATTCTTGGCAAATTTGATAGAGTTGCCCTTTGTTAGTTTGAAATCATCTTGGGCATGGATTGGTTGTCTCCACACCATGGATGGGTAGATTGTCGTCAGAAGCAATTATTCTTAAAGGATGCGAAAGGATATGAAATTGTGGTGATAGGGGAGAAGTCACAGTCCATGTCAAATGTGATACTAGCTATAGCCGCAAAGAAAATGTTGTCAAAAGAATGTGTTGCTTTTCTTGCTAGCGTGATAGACACTCGATTATCGGGTGTGCGACTGCATGATATTCCCACAGTTAGGGAGTTTCTAGAAGATTTTCCTGATGAGTTACCGGGTTTACCTCCAGATTGTGAAGTTAATTTTAGAATAGAGGTTTATCGGGGTACTGAACCTGTTTCTATGGCTCCGTATCGGATGTCTCCAATGGAGTTAAGGGAACTAAAGGCTTAATTACAAGAATTACTTGAGAAAGGATTTATCCGACCTAGTGTCTCTCTGTGGGGAGCTCCTGTGTTATTTGTGAAAAAAAAGATGGGTTTATGCAGTTATGTATTGACTATCGTCAACTGAATAAGGTAACAATAAAGAATAAGTATCCTCTTTCGAGGATTGATGATCTATTTGACCAATTGAAAGGTGCATCAGTATTCTCTAAGATAGATATAAGGTCAGGGTACCATCAGTTAAGGATCGAAAAGGAGGATATTTCTAAGATGACTTTTCGAACTCAGTACGAATATTACGAATTTATAGTAATGTCGTTTGGATTAACAAATGCTCCTGATGCATTTATGGATTTAATGAACAAAATTTTCCAACCATACTTGGATCAGTTTGTGGTAGTGTTTATAGATGATATCCTTGTCTATTCCAAGCCAAAGGAGGATCATGATGCTAATCTTCAAGTGGTCCTTCAGATACTTCGTGATAAGAAGTTATATGCTAAACTATCCAAATGTGAATTTTGGTTGTCTAAGATTTCTTTTCTTGGTCATATAGTGTCAGCAGAAGGTATTAGAGTGGACCCCAAGAATATTCAAACCATAGTAGATTGGCAATCTCCCAAGAATATTACGGAAGTTCAGAGTTTCTTAGGACTTGCGGGTTATTACAAACAGTTTGTGAAGAATATTTCAATGTTATCTCTACCGCTAACTAGGCCTTTACGAAAGGATGTGCCATTTGTTTGGATTGAGAAGTGCCAAAAAAGCTTTGAGAGGTTAAAGAGAATTGTAACTGAGGCTCCAGTGCTTGTGCAACCTGAGTCGGGTAAAGAATATGTCATGTATAGTGATGCTTCCTATAATTGGTTAGGTTGTGTGCTGATGCAAGAAGGGAAGGTTGTGGCTTATGCCTCCAGACAAGTGAAGACTCATGAGCGAAATTACCCGACACATGATTTAGAATTGGTTGCAGTGGTTTTTGCTTTAAAAATCTAGCGCCATTATTTGTATGGTGAGCGT